AGAGAGAGAGAGAAGAAGAGAGAGAAGAAGAGAGAGAGGAGAGAGAAGAAGAAGAGAGGAGAGAGAGAAGAGAGAGAGACAGGAGAGAGAGGAGAGAGGAGAGAGAGAGGGGGGGGAGAGAGAGAGAGAGAGACGGAATATTAGAAAATATTAGAAAAAACACGGCTTCGAGTATCAGTTCATAAAGCACGTAGATAATCATTGCATGTAAGCCCATAGTAACATTTTAACATTCATTGAACGTCTTCACGAATGCAGTGTTGAATGTTGTGGAGGGCCTACTCCTCAACTAGCTGAAATGATATTCATGTTTATGGGAGTTGTAGTACATGGTACACTTGATTTTCGAAGCCTTGAGCCGGAGTCTGCAGCGTGTCACCGTATCGGGTGTTCCCTCCCGAGATCGCCTTTCTTGTCGGTGGGAGCATGTCTCTATGCCCTGGAGACCTCAGGATTTGCTGTCCAAACCGTCAGCACAGCGTCTCCCTCCTGTCCGCAAGTGTTTCCATTTTCAGAATCTGTAGAAGCCGTTGAACTCTTGCCGTACTCGGCAATGATTTTGAGAGCCCGCTTCTGCACTCGCTCAGTTTGTTGCGCTTGTTGGCCGGTGAGTCCGGGATGAAAAACAGCCGTAGAGTATTCAAGCAGTGGTCGAACATACGTGATGCAAATTTTTACCATTTGATCTTGTGGCGGACGGAGTTTCTTCATAACGTGAAGCATAAATTAAGCCTGCGAGCCTCCTCTTAACAATTTCATCAACATGTGCCTGCCAAGTCATGTCGCTGGATAGTGTTATTTTTAAAAGCTTAGTACTGGTAAAACAAATGGTAAGCTGATCCCATTTATTGTGACGCGCGGAAGCATCAGGGACTTCTGAGCAACAAAAACGTGCATTACCTGATACTTCTCAGTATTATGCGCCATTTTATTTGCAGCTGCCCACCCACATATATCGTCAGTTGTGTTTTGCAGTTGACTGCGCTCGTCTATGTGGTCAATCGCACACGCTTCGTATATTGTGAGATAATCTACATATCTCAAACGATGTTGTGTTTCAGAAGCGGCAACGTTCATCCCAGCTAAGAATGTAGCCGGTCCAACCAGGCTACCCTACGGGGCGATGCAAGTTATCGATTTTCAACCATTAATCGCTCCATCTGGAATTTTTACGCTTTGCTTTCGGTCCTGGAGAAATGAGGCCAACCACTCCGCGCAGCCAGAACGAAATCCCATGCTGAGCATACTTTGCATTGCCGTTGTACGGTCAGTGAAGTCAAATCCCTTTTTGAAATCACGCAGACCTACAGTGAAGAGCTTGTCTGGCTTATTCAACTGAGAGTAAATTGTGCAGCATTCTTATCAAGTAGTGGGACCTTGAGGCACCCTATACATTACCGTATTGGCGTTTATCTATTTGCGGCCTTATGTCCGCCAGAATGAGGGGAGAACAAGCTGTCCCAAAAGTTTGCCAAACGTAGTGTAAGGCTCACAGGCCGCAGGTCTCCTGGCGACTTCGGTGTTGCTTTTTTAGGAACTTGAATGATGGTTGCCCTCTTCCAGACTGCTGGTACTTGGCCCTCCTTAAGTGATCTAGAAAACACATGGGTGAGAGGTGGTGTCAATTTGCCACAAAACTTCTTCGGCAACTGCTTTGGTAGCTCACGAGCCGGTACAGCCATGTTCTCCTGGATGTGTGATAGTTTATAGGCTACTTGCCATGGCTTTAGATCGAATGAAATTTCCTCTCCTGGCAAAAAACACGGCAACTCTTCAGTCAGAAGTGGCCCATATGTTGTACATACTTCTGCAAAGTGTCGGTCGATAAGCTTAGCTTTGGAGTTAATATCTGCACCTACAGGTATTTCCAGGCACCAAGGAGCGGACTGTCGATTAGATGAGCGTCCTACTTGTCTGTACCAAGGCCCATTTTCGTCATAAGGAATTTTTGTCATCCGTCGCTTGTACCAACTTGTCTTTGCAATGTGAATCTCTTGAGGTATATATTCTCTCAATATCTTGGGTAAATGGATGTGGATAAATCCGTAGGTGGCCTTACGGAACGAATTTGGCCGGTCTCTTTTCTCTGGTCACAACTGATCCACACAGTGTTGTGATCTGCTGATTCAAGTGCCGGTAGACTTAATGGTCCGTTTGGAGAATCAATGCTAGGAAATATTTGATCAAGAATCGCTGATCCTCTGGTGGGCTCTGTCACTAGTTGTCGGAGGTTAAGCTGTCGGGCCAGTGCATCCGCATAAAATGCACTGTTGAAATCCCCAAAAAGGACAGTCCTTGCTCTTGGCCGTGAAGATCTGAGAAAGTTGACGCTTTCTAGAAGATGGTCTGCTAGTGTTTGCCGATGAGGCACGGCTGCATCAGGTGGAAGGTACACCCTAGCAAGTATCATGCTGTCTGCTTGAGACGGTCGAAGGATGCTCCAGTAAACTTCCAATTCATATGGGACTTGGATGTTAGGCATAGTGCATGACAAGCCATTATTCAAATGCATAATA